TCTAGCCCTTATAAGGACAATAGGAGTTTTGGTTCCAGGGCTCTGGTTAATTCATTTCCTGTATGCTTCTCCCACCCTTCTAACATTCTTAAAACCATATCATTATATTAAAACTTTCTGTGTTAAAATATCTAACATGGTTTCTGTTTTCCTAACCAAGCCCTAACTGATATAGTTACATTCTGAGGATGCAAAGATTTCATAGTCAAGTGGAGTAGGAGATGCCAAATTTTCTCTGTAAAGAACTACTTGGCAAATATTTTAGGTTTTGTAGGCCACATACTATCTCTGTCACATAAAGCTGGGGGACAGATTGGTGGAGTGAGCTGATTTGGCCTGTGGACATAGCCCACAGGCTGTAGTTTACCCATCCCTAGAGTAGAAGAAACAATCAACTACACAAATCACTGCAATGTAAGGTAGTACTATAGACAAGATAATATCTAAGTTGGTCTGAAGTAGTCACATTTAATGACAAATGAGCTAACGATGTTTGTGTTTTTTTAAATGAGCAGATGTTCAGCAATTTAACAAGGCATTTCAGAAACAAAGAATGCTCAAAGTCATGAAGACAAGATAAGTTAATGGGAGTGACTGTTTTGCTTGGGGTAAATATAAATGATTAAGAGCTATGATATGAATAAATCTTAAATCCTTTGTGCTAAGTGAAAGAGATTTAAAAGGCTATATACTGTACAGCTCCATTTATTTGACATTCTGTCAAAGGTAAAGCTATAGGGACTAAACACAGACCAGAATTCACCAGTGCTTGGAGATAAAGATTGGACAAAGAGAGCCTCAGATTATTATGCAGATCTGACAGAGTTTCAGTTATATCAATGGCATCTCCACAGCAAATACTGCCCATTAGCAAAGTCTGGTATTGTGCAGAAATGGCCGGGACTTTGTGTCTGCACCATGCTCAGTCATTGGCTGTGGCTTCCCAAGAAGAGTATGGGCTCAGCTCAAAAGCTTAGACTACAAAGAGCTTTATTACAAAGGGATAGCATGAGGTGTTTTTTTTAGGACGATGAAACTTCTCTGTATCTCAATTACTGTTGTGGCTAAATTACTATATGTATTTGTTAAAAATTTATAGAAATCTACCCCAAGACGAGTAAATTTAATTTATTATATGTGAATGTTCTTAAACTACATGGAAATATTCAGTTCACTGTGGACACATGATGTGGGGGGATGGAGAACGGGCAGAGGAGATGAGGATCTGAAGGCAACCAGAGACAGATCCTGAAACACCTTGTATGCTCTGCTAAAAAAATTTTGAAACTTATCCTGAATAAGTAGTGTATAATTCAAAGAATTGAAACTTAAAAATAGTCCAACTACTTTCAGAAAGAACACCCTGCTATTAGCAACAGCATTAATGAAAATGAGGCAAGACTAGAAGCAGGGACATTAAGTATGAGGTTGTTAGCCTGAGTGGACATGTGGGAGAAAAAAATGGTAAATCTTAGTGATCAATGTGATATGAAAGCTGAAATGGAAAGAGGTGTTTAAAAACAATATACTTCCTCCTTGAACAGCTAGATAGACAGTGATATCAAGAATTAAGATTGAAAATACTTTAGAAGGAGCAGGTTTCTTTCTGAGAAAATGAATTCCATTTTGAGATGCTGAATAAGCAGTCAGTACAGATCAACTAGCATTAGACAGTTATTTAAAGTTATTATAAATATATTTAGAGATTTTCCTTTGTAAGGAGGTAAGAGACACATAGATATGGCACATCAATAGACTAGGTTAGAAACAATGAAGGTCTGAAATATTAGGTGTATGTTGGATTAGAATCAAATATTGTAGAATATATAGGACTCCTCAGGCTGCCTTGGAGGCTTACAATTTACCCTAGAATCAGTCAGAGTAAATTCAGGTACCCATTCAGGGTGTCTCTAGCCTAGACTGTGTCCTAGGTTCTCAACAAAAGATATATGTGTGCTGGTTTTCAATGATATAAATTTGAACAAATGCTTTCTCTTAGGACATGCAGCCTAGATATCCTTAGTACAGTTTAACATTGTATAGGATTTGTACCCATTCTACAGCTGCAAAGGGTATACATAAATATGATTTTACTTGTCTATTCACTTGTATAAGGGTGAAATGAACCGGGAATCTTGAAAAATGTGTGTGTGTGTGTGTGTGTGTGTGTGTGTGTGTGTGTGTGTGTGTGTGTGTGTCTACTGGTTCTGCAAATCTTGTCTTGATGATTTCTCAATCAAAAGAGCTTTTAAGATTCCAAGTGCATTCCAGCCAAACTGCTTGATCTGGACTCACATCCCCAGGAGGACACAATTACCAGGATGCTATCCAGTGACAACGACTCCAGCATGAGCACCATGGCGTCAGAATGCTGCCTTCCCATCTCATTATTTCTCCACAGGTTATTTGCATTTGCATAACATAAATACATTTACTATTGCATCTAGTGCCCCCTGGAGGATATATTGAACTTCATAAGGCAGCAAGAGGTATACATTTATAGGTACAGAAAAATTACCATAAGGAAAAATTGATATTTTTCCCCTTAGTCTGATGAAGTTTTAACAGTCCTCAGCAAAACATCTAAAAGATGTAATTGCAATTCAATTAGAAAATGTTACAATGTAACTAATATAGCTTTACTTCAAACTACTTAAATAGAAATCAGAAAATATATACATATACATTACCTACAGGATAGCAAATATGATATTTTGAGTGTCTGTTAATGCTCCAGAAGATGTCAAAGCAGTTTTTATTTTCCTTAAATTTCTGGTAAGATAATCTTAAAACTAAAGAGAGTATTTGATTATAAGAAAGAATGTAAATTTTAAAAATTCAACTTTGTAAAATAAAAAAAGAACACTGGAATAAAAATAATTTGGAGAAAAATATTCTCCAAATTTTCTCCAAATTATTAATCTCTCAAGTATTTCTCAAGATTTTACATCAAAATATCTCTTAGAGCAAACATTACCACAAGGATGGTTCTATAGTCAAAATTTGTCAAAGCTTCAGATTTTATTTTAAAATATGTGAATTTTGTTTTACACCATAATATGCTTTTATTTATTTTAGTGTAAAAGTTATGCCATATTACTACATTAATTTTAAGTAAAATTAACACCCTGGGAAAGATGTACTATGCTTATCCTATGGATCCACTACTACTTTCTGACCTCAGATGTTCTTCAACTTGAGATAAACTGGATAACAAAACATGGGATCAACTTATAAAAACACATTATTTATTGTGTTTAATGTGTTTATAAAAACACATAATTTTGCAGTTTACAATATAGCATAAAAAAGTAGTAATCACATTTGAACAAATGTGTAATTATCATATAATATAAATATAAATCATATATAAACATAAACATAATATGAAATATCAGTTTAGAAGCTTTTCTGCTCAAATATACATATAAATTAAATACCAGCTTGGGGGCATTTCTCCTTTCTGAGCCTTTAGCCAAAAGGAATCAGAGACATTGGCCTAACATTCTCAGTTAAGATATCACCTCTTCCTTCTTAAAGGTCTCTTCTCTGAGGTCCCTTCAACCAACCACTCTATCATCTCACCTATCCTTCTACTTACAAAGGATGAAACAAAAAGCTCCAGATTAGGAGTAAAGAAACAAGTACACGAGTGGCTCTGCACTTAGCATGTGACCTTGAAACTTCATTTATAATTAAAAAAATAATTATAGAATACATTTGAGACTTACTATTTGCTAGACACTCTCCTGGCACTTTGTTTAAATAATATCTAACTTTTAAAACAAACCTGCAGATAAATATTTCCTGTCCTATGCATAAACCTCAGAATGGCGTAATAATTTGCCCAAGGTCACCTATCTAGTCAGCAGCAGGATCTGAATTTTTAAGAATTCTATTTATTCATCCATAATACCTGTTCTGCATCCTAGGTATTAAAACAAATCAATAAATGTGAAAGTGAATTATTCAATGCAAGAAGAACTTACTTCCATATATTTAGAGAATGGGCAAGAGTAATTTGAATTGGTTAATAAGATACAAATTAATTCATTGGTTAATTTACTCCTGGGATATCTGGGTAGGGTGCATGATTTTCATAATAATTACTAGGAATGTACCTTTGTACACACTCCATTTTAAAATGTGTTTTACTGCCAATCCATATGTGACGTTTTGCATATCAGTCATAATCTTGAACTGTAGATAGTTCTCTCAGTTAGGAGTGTAAGAAGTCTGCTATGGTTTGAATATTTGTTCCCTCCAAAATTCAGGTTGAAATTTAATCCCCAATGTGGCAGTATTGAGAAGGGGTGCCTTTAAGAGGTGACTGGGTCATGAGGACTCTGCCTTCATGAATAGATTAATTCATGCATGGATTAATGGATCAATGGCTTGTCATGAGAATAGGACTGGTGGCTTTATAAGAAGAAGGAGAAGAGAGACCTGCGTTAGCACACTCAGCCCCTAACCATGTGATGCCATTTGCTGCTTTGGGACTCCACAGAGAGTCCCCAACAGTAAGCAGGTTCGTACCCAACACAGCCCCTCAGCCTCGGACTTCTTGGCCTCCATAATGTAAGAAACAAATTATTTTGTTCCTCTTTAAACTATCCACCTTCAGGTATTCTGTTATAAACAGGAAACAGACTAAGGCAACACCTAAAAAGAATAATAGGAGGAAGAAGCAGGATTGGGCAAAGAGAGCCTCAGATTATCATGCAGATTTGACACAGTTTCAGTTATACCAATGGCACCTCCACAGCAAATGCTGCTCATAAGCAAAGTCTGGTATTGGGCAGAAATGGCCAGGACCTTGTGTCTGTACCATGCTCAGTCATTGGCTATGGCTTCCCAAGAAAAGCATGGGCTCAGCTCAACAGCTTAGATTCTGGAGGCACTTACAGCTGGAGGCTATCAGCTAACTGCACTCCTTGCAATCAAATGGTAAGTTCTTTTTATTTTTTATTTTATTTTATTTTATTTATATTTTTCTTTAGTTTTTTAAAAAATGTTTATTTTTTCAAAGAAAAATGGCAATAGCCAATTGGAAACCTACTTATTCTTCAACTCCAATTTTGTTTTCTTTAAATTTAGAAGTGACTTACTGATTTACTATTTTAAACAAACCCTCCCTTTCCCCTTTAAATGTTTACCATCTACTCGTGCTGAATCCTTCCAAGGAGATTGCTCCAGTGTTTATCTCCAGGTCCTCGCTTTGCTCCTTTTACCAAAAAATGCAAAACACAATTCCATCGTGCATCTTAAGGGCTCCAATTGTCAAAAATAGGAAAAAAAAAATCTTTGGACTAACCAATTAAATTGAATAAAAAAATCCACACGAATGCGGTTTGGTTGGGGCAGGAATCCACTCCTATGTTCCTGGTAATCTGATCCCGCTCCATGAATCCTGGTAATTCATCCTCCCTATCCTATCCACATTATGATTTGAATCCAATGATCCAGCTCCAAGAATTGGGATCCAGTGAGCCCTCTCCAATCCAAACCTTTATAACCAGCAAAACCAAAAAAGAGGAGGCAAAATGTTAGATATTGTAATCAGAAAAGGTTTCTGGGGAATGATGAGTTATGTCTGTCATCAGTTTAACAGATGCACATCAATAACTATCAAATTTCCCAAAACAAGTTTCTGAATGGTGTTCAGATAAATTTTAGAAACTTAATCATCATAGAGACTAATTGGAAGAAGCATTTTGTAATTACAGTTCAACTGATAATGCCAACACTTGTTACTGTACAGCGTATTACAGGTTTCGTGGTTGCAAGAAGTTATGTAATTTAAGTTTACTGGCATTGCTACCCACCTAAGTCTAAAATTATATCTAATGCTCCCATTTGCAATTTAATTTGTAAATTAAAGTCTTTTAAACATATGAATCAATTATGAATATTAGTTTAAAGGGGAAGGTGAGACTTAAAAGTATTCCCAACTAGATTATCTACACCAATACATTGGAACTCTATATTTTGTCTTAAAAAAAATGAAATAGCAATGCTCTATCAGTCACACAGAGGACATGCAGATTTAGCAGTATTGATATTATACTCTATCTTGTTGGATTTAAAGACACCCTGTACCCACATGTACACCAACAGCAGGTCACACATTAACAGTTGTAACTAAGCACTGGGACAAATTAGCCAGTTCTTCTCACATTAGTCCCTATTAAAACAAAAATGGGGGAAAGGGAGCAAAATAAGTTGCTACAAAATGGGCAATATAATTTTGCCACAATTGCCAAGGTTTAAAGAGCAAAGCAATTGTAGCTAAAGATAACTGAATAAAATGTTTGCAAGTGTTTTAAGGAAAATGTATATAATCATTTTTAACCCCTGCCTTTTAGTATAAGGTCAATACTGCCAATTTCATCTGTGACAACAGCACTTGGAGTCATACCATTGCCTCCATTATTGATCTGATCCTCCTCAATCCTCCTATTGACAATCCTAAAATGATTGAAATGTGCTCCACAATCCTTAATCCAAAGCATTCTTAATCCATCTCTTCAGATATGTCTACAGAAAGACACATGAAAAGCAAGATAAACATAAGAACTTCCCCAGGTAAGGTAACCACAAACACCCCCAACATCCCAGTTCACACAAACCAGGGCAGAATAGACATTTACACAATATCACAGTCTGAAGAGTATGGAGTTAACTAAATTTAAACAATCCTGTCTATGACATCACTTAATATACAATTTATCAAAGACATGAGGGGAATGTAGATGTTAGGTGCAAGGGGATATTACAAGAATGCAATTCAACACTTTAGCCCATTCTGAACAAAACAGTTTGAATTAAAAAATGAAAGATTGTACTGAATAAAGGAAAACTGTATACAACATGGGTTCTACAAAAAGTGTTACCAATCATCTTATGTACGAGAGCGAGATCTGCTATGATGGGGAGAATAGCGTGGTGATCCTCTGCTTCTCCTTGGGGAGTAACTGCGACTCCTGCTGTTGCTTCTGCTACGGCTTCTGCTACGACTACGGCTTCGAGATCGAGATCTTCCATAACTTGGACTTCTGGGCCCATCAACTTTAACCCGGATGTAGGCAGTTTCTCCCTCATGAGATCTAAACTTAGTGTTATCCAGTTTTCGAACTGCATAGGTCATATCTTCTTTCCGTACAAACTCCATGACACCAGTGCCATCTCGGTAAACATCAGCATAACATACATCACCTGCTTCACGCATGTGATCCTTTAAATCCTGCCAACTTCCACTTGGAGGCAGTCCAGAGACAACCACTCTATTTTCAGACCGCCTGGATGGGGGGCCATAGCGACCTCGGGGAGCTCCGCCACCTCCACCCCCGCTGCCGCCTCGGCCTGTTCCACGGCCGCTTGGAGGAAACTCCACCCGCAGACGGTACCCATAGTAATCATAGCCGTCGCGACCATACACCACGTCTTCCGCGTCTCGCAGGTCCTCGAACTCAACGAAGGCGAAGGGCGGTCCCCCGCGGCGATTCTTGAGGTCGATGTCGCGGATAGCGCCGTATTTGTAGAACACGTCCTCAATGTCCTTGGTTCGGATGTCTGGAGGTAAGTTACCCACGTAGATGCGGCAATCGTTGTTCCCTGCGGGCCCACGAATCACACCACCTCCCGACATGGCGGTGACGAAAAGCGCGGACTCGAGAACAGGCCTTCCCACCAAGCCTAGCGCACCGCAGAGCGAGCCCGCAGTGGGACCACGTCTCCCAGGTAAGTTCTTTTTAAAGAGGTGACCAGAACAGTGACCCTCCATGACTGCCACAGTGGAAAATCCCCTTAATTATTTAATAAGGTAAGCATAACTCTAACACCAAGTGTGTGCAGGTATAAAGTTTAAACAAAATACTAGGGAATACAAGAAAGCAAACCCAAGAAACCATAATAAAATTATAATATAATAAAATCCTGTAAATATAGGAATCATTATAATAAGGTGATTAAGTGCAACAAAATATATAAAATCAATAGCCTTTTGTAATAGCAATAAGCATCTAGAAGTATAAATAATAAAATGATTGCTTTCAATTGGAAACAAAAATCATAAAATGCTTAGAAATAAGCATGATATTGGCATAGCAATAGGCAAAACATTTCAGTTATTGGGTATATATCCAAAAGAATTGAAAGCAGGGACTCAAATAGGTATTTGGATATCCACAATAGCCAAAAGGTGAAAGTAACTCAAGTGTTCACTGATGGATGAATGGATAAAATGGAATATTATTCAGCCTATAAAGGAAGGAAATTCTGATATATGCTAATACAATGTTATGCCAATATAACATTATGCTAATGTAAGGTTCGTGAATGAACCTTATGAATATCATGCTACGTGAAATAAGTCAGTCACAAAATTATATCATGCATATGAATTATATGCAAATTCATAAAGACAGAATTTGTAAAGATAGAAAGTCAAATTCATAAAGATAGAAAGTAGAACAGTGGCTGCCAGGGGCTGGAAGGACAGGAAATAGGGAGTTAGTGTTTAATGAGAACAGAGTTTCCGTTTGGGAAGATGATAAAGTTCTGGAGATAAATGGTGGTGATGGTTCCACAAAAATATAAATGTACTTAATGCTACTAAATTGTACACTTAAAAATAGTTAAAAACAGGTTAAAGAGAATAGATAACCTCAAACTCAATCTGAGTATTTAAGTGACAAATGTGATATCTCAATTCAGTAGGAAAAGGATGGTTTATTTGATACATAGTACTGACTCAAATGGCCAATCATCTGCAAAAAATAAACCTGGACCCTGATCTTGATATCTGAAATTGTTCATGAGAAGTTGAAATAGTTGCAAAAAATATAATTTAGGCATATTATAAATCTTGACTTCAGAAATAAAGCTATAACTTCACTCATTTAAACATATTCATAGAATCTTATTAGTATAATGATTTTATACACATTATCACTTATTTTTAAAAATAAATGAATAAGCTCTTTTCTAAATCTTTCCTTTTAATCTTTGGTCTCAAGTTTTCATTACATTTTCATTTCAGAATTTTATCTAAATGTAATATTTATTTGTCCTAGTCAAGGCACCAGACATTTAAGAGAGCGTACTAAAGATCAGTTAAGTTTGTAGCTGACTTGGATGCTATCAGTAGACATAGAGTGAGATCTACAAAACCCAAAATTACTTCAGCAAAACTACTAAGCAAAACCAAAGAATCAGGAGCTACAATAAATGTGTGTTCAGGGAGTGGCATAAGCAAGATAGCAGAATAGGAGGTCCCAGTCCTCACTACTCACTACAGAAAGTTCAACTAGCAACTATCCACAGACAAGAACACCTTTGTGAAAACCTCAAAACTTGGGAATAAGCCTGAGACACCTTCATAGATCACAGAATCCAATGAAAAATGGCATCAGAAGGGTAGGAGAAATAGTTTCACTTTGGCTGTGTCACCCACCTCCCCAACTTGGCACAGCACCAAACAGAGAGGATTATCCTAGGCCCACAGTTTCTACAGTAGAAAAAGAGAACTGGAGGCAAATATCCAGTTGGCAAAGTATTCTGAGATGCTTCATGGGAAGCCCACTCAAGTCTTACTTCATGGGGGAAAATGAGGGTAATGGCATGACTAGATCACCTAGGGTCAGGTAGAAACAAAGCGAGGAAAGAGCTCACAGAGACCAGCACAGAAATCTTCGTTGTAGCTCTGTGTACCTGCCAGCAATGGCACCACATCAGAGGTACCAGCCATTACCTAGCACACTGGCAAAGCTAAGCTGGTTGTTCCCAGAAATGGTGGGAAGTTCTACTTGGCTTGTATCCCTAGATTGCCAGCCTCATGCCCAGTCTTTTACCCCACCCAAAGGCCCCACCCAGAGAGAAAGACACCCTCCACAGCCCATTTTGGTAAAGGGCAGAAGATAGATCTGCCCCCATGGGAGTGTAAAGAGCACTTGACTCAGCCTCAGAGACCACCCCAAGGCCCTTCCAAGAGGAAAGAGATCTGGCATGGTGCATTTTGGCAAAGTTCAGGGGCTAGACCTTCCCTACCTGGGAGTTCAAACAGTGGTTCAGTCCAACCTCAAAGCCTACTCCAATTCCCTACCCAGGCTGGGAGGCAAACCTCAACTGTGTATTTCTACTAAGCATAGTGGCTGCTGCCATCTATCCTAAGCAGTGATTCCACCTAGCCTTAGGGACTAGCCTGCAACCCTATTTTACTGCAGAATGCAAACAGCAGTACCACCTGGCCAGAAAATACACCCTATGACTCATCCCAATCAGAGACAATTGTGGTGTCCAGTCAGCAACTCTGCCCGACTGCAGAATCCAGCCAGCAGCCCCGCCTAAACTCAGAGCAAAGACGGTGGCCCAGCCATCTAGAGAACCCAAAAGCAAGCTCTGCCTGCCCAGGGTTCTTATCAGCTGGCCCATCCAGAATCACAGGCTACACGAAACAGTGAAGGTCTATTTCTGCTTAATAACATCTGTAAAACTGAAAGAGGTGAGTGTCTCCTCAAACGTACAGACATCAACACAAGGACACAAAGACCACAAAAATAAGGGAATCATGACACTTCCAAAAGGAAATAATAAAGCCCCCAAAATAGACCCTGCAGAAATGAAGATCTATGGAATGACTGGTAAAGAGTTCAGAATAATCTTCTTAAAGAAGTGAGGTGAACAAAAACCATACATATAGAAAATTAAACAAATAGAAAACATGTGAAATCAATGAGAAATTTGACAATGAAATAGAAGCAATTAAAAAAAAAACAAATAGAAATTTTGAGCTTAATACAATGACTGAACTAAAAAATGCAACAAAAAAACTTCAACAGTAGGCTCATAAAGCATAAGAATCAATGAACTCAAAGATAGAACATTGTAAATCATCTAGGCAGAAGATCAAAAAGAAAAAATTAAGAAGGAAGAAAGCCTACATTATAAGGCATCATCAAGAGATCAAAAGTTGATAGAATAGGATTTCCAGAAACAGGAGAGAATAGAAGCCAGAAAACTATTTAAAGAAATAATGGCTGAAGACTTCCTATATCTGGGGAAAGGCACAAAAATATTCAGGTATGGGAAGTCCAGAGATCTCCAATCAAATTCAACTGAAAGAGGAGTTCACCATGACACATAATAATCAAACTATCAAAAATCAAAGAAAAAGAAAAAATTGTGAAAACAGGAAGAGATAAGAAACATACCATATACAAGGTAGTTCAAATAAAGCTACCAGCAGATTTCTCAGCAGATCCCTGAAAGACCATTGGAGAGCAGAATGATATAAAGTGCTGAAGGGAAAAAATTACCAAGAATATTTACCCAAAAAAGCTGTCCTTTATAAATGAGGAAGAGATAAAAACTTTCCCAGACAAACAAAAGCTAATGGAGTACATCACCGCTAAGCCTGCCTCTTACAGGAATTTCTAAAAAAAAATTATTTAAGCTGAATCAAAATGCTGCTAAGTAATAACATAAAACATAAGAAAGCATAAAACTCATGATATAAGTAATACAGAGTCATATTCTGAATACCCTAGGACCGTAATAGTGTGTAAAGCAATTTCATCTCTAGTATGATGGTTAAAGGACAAATCTATAAAAACAGCTATAGCTAAAATAAATTGTCAAGGAAGACAGTTTACAAAATAATGTAAATTTTGACATAAAAAATATAAAATGGTGAAGGGGAGTAAAAATGTAGAATTGTGGTGTGAGATAAAAATTAATTTATCAGCTTGAAATAGCCTGGTATAGGTATACAATGTCTATGTTAGCCTCATGATAACCACAAAGCAATACTCTATAGCAGATACAGAAAAAATAAATAGAAAAGATTAAAAGCATTCCACTATAGAAAACCATCAAACCACAAAGGAAGCAACACAGAAAAAAGCAAAATAAAACAACCAGAAGACAAATTACAAAATAGCAGTAGTATGTCATTACTTATCAATGATGATTTTGAATATAAATGGATTATATTCTCCAGCAAAAAGACAGTAGCTGAATGCATAAATAAATAAGACCCAATTATATGATGCTTATTAAGAAGCTCTCCTCACCTTTCAGGACACAGACTGAAAGTGAAGACATGGGAAAAAAAAAACATTATAAGCAAATGGAAATGAAAAGAAAGGAATGGTAGCCATACTTATATCAGACAAAATAGACTTCAAGTCAAACTGTAAAAAGAAACAAAGCAGGTCATTATATAATGATAAAAGGGTTAATTTATCAAGAGAATATAGCAATCGTAAATACATATGTACTCAACATCAGAGTACCTAAATACATAAAGCACATATTAATATACGTGAAAGGGGAGATAGTCAATAATACAATAGTAGTAGAGGACCTCAATACTCCAACTTTTAACAATGAACAGATCATCTATACAGAAATTAATACGAAAATATTGAACTTGAACTACACTTTAGACTACATAAACCTAACAGACATATATACAGAACATTTTATTCAATTGCAATGAAATATACATTATTCTTAAGCACCCATGGGACATTCTCCAGGATAGATCATATGTTAGGCCACAAAACAAGTGTGAACAAATTTAAGAAAACTGAAATCCTATCATCTTTTCTGATCACAATGGTATGAAACTAGAAATTGATAACAGGATACAAACTGGAAAATTCACAAATATGTAGGAATTAAGCTGCATAATTCTGAACAACTGATATGATTAGGCTTTGTGTCCCCATCCAAATCTCCTCTTGAATTGTAATCCCCATATTCCTCATATGTTGAGGGAGGTACCTGGTGGGAAGT